AGCCGGTCCGAGGATCTCTGGCCCCAGGTCACCCTCGCCGCCGCCGGGCGCCCAGGCGCTCCTGCCCTCCCGCCCCCTCGCCTCTCTCTCTAGCTGGGCCCCGCCGAGCCCCGGGGTCACTTTCACGGGCCACCTTCCAGGGCCAAAGCATCGGACTGAGTGATTTTTCTTCTTTTATTCTTGCCATCTTGGTACTCTTTCCTTTAAATTAACTGTTAAAATCGTAAATTTATATTATATTTTATATTATTTTGTTTTTTAATGTAAAACTGTATATTTTAAATTGTTTTTATCTTCTAAGTTGTGAGCCGCCCAGAGTAGGCCCTCGGCTGGCGGCCCGGCCCGCCGGTCAGGCAGCAAGCGGGGCGCGTCGGCATCTGGACGGACAGCTGGCACCTTCCTTTCACACCGGGTCCCTGGGCCAGACTCGCCAGGCGAGGCCCGTCCGTCCTGGAACGCTCTCCCAAAGGAAGGGACGACCCACAAACACACATACACTCACCTGGCTGGGACGGGTGTGGGAAGCTCTGGGGAGCAAGTGGGGGGAAGGGACGGCTCCTTCTGGGTCCACGGGGGAACCCAGGGTCAGATTTCTGAGACGGATCTCAGGAGAGCCCAGAGAGGACACAGACAGCTCCAGACTCGCCAGACTCCCTCCCGCCGCGCTTACCTGAGCGGAGGGAGTTGTGGGGCATGGCGGTTCACCTGGCTCCTGGAGAGAGGAAGGACGAGGAGGCAGGCAGGCTGGTCGGTTCCCCTGGGGATGCAGGGGCCTCCCCTCTGGCGGTGGGCTGCCAGGACCGCGCAGTGGATGCCGCTGTGGAAGAAAGAGACATCCGTTGGAGATGGGGCGCCCGGGTGCAGGGCAGGCTCCTGGAGGCTGGTGCTGCCCCGAAAGGTATATCTGGAAGGGACAAGGACTCTTTGGGGGAAGGCCCGTTCGCATCCTCACATGAATTATATAGAAAATAAAAAGCAGGTGTGTTCGCCCACCTCAGAGCCTCTTGGCAGCAGCCAGGTGATGTCTGTTCTCTTCTGCCTGGCCAGCTCTCTTCTATATGTACAACTCCCCTGCTTTGCCTCAACGAGAGGTCCCGGGGAGCCCTTTACCTCGATGCTTTGGCCTGTCCTCTTCTGCTGTGTACAGTCTCCACCAGGAAGAAACATTCAGGCCTGGGAAAGATGGCTTTGAACGGCTCAGGAAGTTTTGTCCCCAGTAAAAGAGACCGCCGAGCTGGTTTTATTTCATCCTGTCCTCTCTCGGCTGTGCCTGGTAAAGCGAAGTGGCTGTGGATTGGCTGCTGGGGGTTTTGGAGGGTGGGGGAAACGGGGGTCATGGCTGAGTGCTTTTAAGAGTTAAAAAGAATGGCCACAGAAGCTGCTGTTTTCTAAACTAGGCAGGAGGAAAAACCTGTCCAGGGAAATACACACAAACACACCCCACTTTTCATGGGTGCTGCCCTTATTCCCCACCTTGGCAAGTCACACTTGCTGAAGAAGGGTAACTTCATGCCAGCTGAAGCCTGTTCTAAGCAGCAGAGGCCAGGAAAGCAGTGGCGAAAGGTCCAAAGCGGCTGAAGATCTTGTTCTGTAGTCCTGCTCATGCAGCAAAGAGCATCCATCCATCAGTCTCTGGGGAAGATGCCTGTATGGAGAAAGCATCGATTTCCATGGAGGTGGACGAGATGCAGAACCAGTGATGGGCATCAAAAACATGTAAGCTTCTCTGGAAGGTCCTTGGTCCTCTCCATCCCTATTATTGTTTGGCAAACCTCTGTTGTGTAGAACCCCGGCAATTTGCCCATCCACCTAAAACAGTTTGCATGTATGATGCCTTAAAAGGTCAGAGGCCTTTTTGCCAGTTGGGGTATGGATCACCCTCTGTCTATGTAGACATGTGCTCATGCACATTGCTCATGCACATTGCTCATGCACATTGCTGATTTGGCTGCTTAGGAAGAAACCATTGTTCAGTGACAGAATTCATGCTTTGCATGCAGAACACCTCAAATTCAACCACCAGTTCAAAGGATCAAGGAGCATGTTGGGTAGAAGGAAACATAATACGTTGTGCCTATTTTGAGAGCCAGTGTGTCATAGCTGGCTAGAGTGGCAGACTAAGATTCAGGAGGCCTGGGCTGAGCCATGGAAACTCATGTGTGAGGGGATGGCCATGGGAAAACTACTCCTTGAATATCTCACATACTTTGAAAGCCCTACTAGGGTCACCCTAAGTCAGTTCTTTGGACATCTTTTGAAAGATGTTAATGTTTAAATGATAAGACTCTGCAAGCAGAAGGTCCTGGTTGATTAATTATGTTCTGTGACTCAGCAACATCAAGTTAACCATTTTCTTCCATTTCTGCTCTAGGCTCACAGTGCTTTCAGGCTACAATCTTCTGAAGGGCAAAGTCTTCTGCAATTTTAAAGATTATTCTCTGATAGGCTCCAACTCATTCACAGATTCACATTATGGTGCAAATGGTACACAGCTCATGGTACCCAGAAGTGACTGGTGAGCAGAATGTATAATTCACCACTATGCCTGGTACCAGACAGAAGTTTTCAGTTTAACACATGTAAGACAATTTATATGGGAAGAGGCCCACATCCTGAAGGAACAAAACATGGGTACATCTTTATTCAGAAGATATTGAGCTAATCCAGTTGAGGGCCAGTAGCTGTGATACACGGCTGCCACTTACATCTTTTATCTGAGAATCTTGTGTTGATAGAGAAGGTGCATGTTATTTTGTCTGCTATAACTCTGTTTTGAATTATTGGTTTATCTGCTCTCACATTGTTTTTGTGACTCATAACAGCCTTTCTTATTCAGCCATATTGAAATATTTCCCACTTTGCTACCCATAGTCCTTTAACTGGAGCTATTTGGGCTGAAGCTGGTAGATGCTCTACTACTCAAGACTGTGGCTTTCCAAACAAGCACATTTTTCATATCTTCTTATACCACAGAAGCAAGAATACTTCTGCGCTTGCACTGTCCCACTCATTTTTTATTTTTTACTTTAGTTCTGATGCAGCGTAGAAGTGGGTTAATTTTTAGATATTGAGTTTCTCTTTCCCTCCCAACTGTCAAAACAAGATTGCATAATCAGGACATTAGCCTTCCTAAGAGCTTGGATATGAACTCTGCTTCAAAAAGCAAGAGCACACAATTGCTAGTTTATTCTCACAGGAGGCATCTTGTATATTAGCTTATAGACCAAAGAGAAAAGAACTTGTATATTAAGGCCTCCAGGTTTAATTTTGATACCAGCTCAGCAGGACACCTTTTTATCCAAGAAAACAGAAAGAGCCAGGGTAGGGTAGATGAGAGCCATGGGACCTCTCTCCTCTAAGTTACTTTCTGCCAAACCAAATGCTTTAGTGGGAAGACTACAAAGAAGGCAGGAACATAAGAGCATATGAGCCCCATCCCCCCCAGTCAGTTAATCACATTAAGGTGCCACAACATTTTTGTCTTCTTTATTTATTTTCTTTTCTTTTTGCCTCATATGTTAGCACGGATTAACATGGCTACTTCAGTGAAGTGGATTTTGTTCAGAATATTCTATCTGTGCTTATTTCTAACGTTATCCAGTTCCCCAAAGTAGTACGTAACTCTCTTGCATTACTATGAGCCTCCCGGGAAATTGACTGCAGATGGGTGAGGGAGGGAGGCCAGAGAGCATGACAGGAGGGAAAGTCAAGGCAGGTGCAAGCGACACTGACACTCTTTTTTACTACCAGAGGTGTGTCTCTGTCTTCCCACTCCCTGATGTCCATGGGAACAAGGAGGGAGGTGCACGGCTCAGCTGAGGAGGGCCGGATTTAATTCTATGCATCATTAAGTAGTCCTCTCACAGCAGTGTCCTCCTATACATCATCCAGGCTGAGTGCCCTGCAAACTGACATTACATTAGTGTCTGGAAATGAATTTCTTTTTATAGGGAAATTGCAAATCCACTAAGAAGAAGGAAGAGAAAAAGGAGAAAACCCTTTAAAATCAATTATTGTGCATTTATGAGTATTGCTATTTCCCAATTCCCATCCTCTTCCATAACACTTCTATGATTGGTGCAAAAGAGCATTTTACACTTAGCAAAATATGAAAATCTCCATGGTGAGGCCATAATTAGTCTGTTGCCATGAGAAATGAAAAAGAGTCACAAGATCTGGTGGTATTAGAGGCATTTTGAGGAGGGAGTCCCTTGGTGGACTCCTGGGTTTCCCTTCCCCTGGATCCCACCCGTCGTCACACTCTGCATGGCCACGGTGCTCTCTCTCTCTCGCTCTCTCCCCACCTACAGTCTCTGGAGCACAAGAACCTTGTTCTCCGCCATCATCTTCTCGGAAACCTTGTTGGCAGCATGCAGCAGAGGACGGCTTGAATTTCTAAGGGCGTTCAAAAGGCGACTTTTAACTGTAATTCTCCTGTATCCTCACCCCCACCCCTTTAAGTCTTAAATTAAGGGATCTTCAAAAAGAGCTGCCTCGCATGAAAACAATGGATTAGGGGAGTGGGTACTCTTTTCTTGCCGTGGAAATCACTGAACCCACAGAAGAGGAGACCCACCTGGTTGTTGTTGTTGTTGTTAATGTTTTCTGTTATCATTTCTCTTTTACGAGCTGTACCCCACTGAGACTAGTTCTGTGACACTAACGGGAGCGGGATACAAACTGAATAAATAAATAAAACTAATCTGTTTCTTAATATTCCAGTAAAATGTGTTCTTTAAAGTACGTTCATTGCCGGCTGGTCTTACATCTGAACTCGCATGTGTAAATTTTCCTGTTGAACGGGCGAAGGGGCTGCCAAAAAACCTGAAACTTCTTACCCCCCCCGCCTGCATTCTCTTTGTGTGAGCGCATGTGTTACTATTTAG